TCCGGCTATAACATGAATGTCGTCCAAGTAGACCAGCACAAACCGGTCCAACATCGTGTGGAACTCGTTGGTCATCGCTGCTTGAAAAATCATTGGGGCATTGGTGAGGCCAAAAGGCATGACAATCCACTCAAAAAGCCCGAACCGCATCTTAAACGCGGATTTGTAGCGATTTTGCGGGAGTATCGAAATCTGATGATTGCCCGACTTCAAGTCCAGCTTGCAAAAATACTTCACGCCGCCCAAACGCTCAAGAAGATCGTCAATACGAGGAAGAGCCCCCTCATTTTTGACGGTTTGCGCATTGAGCTTGCGATAGTCAATGCACAAGCGAAGGTCCTTGTTCTTCTTCCGTACGAAGAGAACTGGCGGACCATATGGTGAGCTACTAGTGCGGATCCAACCCTTGTCCAACAAGTCATCGAGTTGCGTGTAGAGAACCGCAAGCTTTTCCTTACTCATGTGGTAGATGCATCCTTTCGGCGGCACGACATTGGCATCAAGAATGATCTCATGGGAGATCGGTCGATCCGGCACCACACCGGTAGGAGACTTGAAGATGTCGGCGAACTCGTCAAACAACCGCAACACACGAGTGTCCGAAGACAAGTCCGTAGGTGAAGATTTGGCCGCTGTGACGGTCCTAAGAAAACATAGGCCGATCTCGTCGGTCCGCTCGCAACCACAAGTGGCCTGAAAAGACTTGGCCGTCACAACTTGGCACCAGATCAAAGGGTGCGGAAGAGGAATGGTACACGGCACCTCAGCACCAAAGGCGTCGCAAACGGCAAGTGTCCGCCGATGGAAGTTGACAGTGTGGTCTGCACTCGCGAGCCACGACATCCCCAAAATAATGTCGAAGTTTGTGTCCAAGACGTTAAACGTAACCGGCTCGCATGCATGTGGTGCGAAATAGACCGGTACGGCTTCGATGTAGCGATCAAGAAGTTGTTGCATCCGATCGCCGGCCATCTTGACTATCGTAAGATGTGGATTCCTTCAAACTTGTACGCCAAGGCCGGCCCTTTGTATAAAGGACTGGTTCATGAAATTGCGAGCCGCGCCGCTATCCAGCAAAGCCTTGTAGGACGCTTGCCCAACTTGGATGCAAACATAAAGGAGCGGTGCGCTGTTGTCTTTGTACCGTTGTGTGCAAAACTCGCAGGCCACCTTGCAAGGGGGTCCCCCACCGTGACTTCGTCATCCGTTGTCGAAGTCGGTGGTGCATAGAAGGACAAATACGTGTGGAGATGAGCGCATAGTGCTGCACATTGCTATCCCGGTAAGCGGCCCATGGAAGGGAGAGGAAGCCATGCAAATCCTCGGGCGACAATGGGTCCAAGACCTCTACGTTGAACTCGCGTGCAGAATCCCTTGAAGAACCACTCGAAGACGATAAAATGTCGCCGCTACTGGACGAAGAAGAAACTGTGCACACACCTTGTCCTGGAGCGAGAGAACCCAACGATGGAACGAGCTGGGCAGTGAAGTCCTCAAAAGAATGAAGGATAGGAGGACTTACGACTTCCGCATGTGCCTCGGAATTAAGGGCGGTCGCTCGCGAAGCAACCCAACGATGGAACGAGCTGGAGAGAGAGAGAGAAAGAGAGAGAGAGAGAGAGAGAGAGAGAGAGAGAGAGAGAGAGAGAGAGAGAGAGAGAGAGAGAGAGAGAGAGAGAGAG